AAAGCTTATTTTTTGTCATGTAAGCAATATATATCTAACAGCTTTTGTTGCATGAGTTCGTTTGCTTCAAGTGAAAATTTGTGACAATAAAGAGAACAGCAAAAAAATGGTAATATAATTTTTTACCAAAGTTAAAAATTGCTTACATATACATACATACATAAACTCCAATAGAAAAACGTCGCCATTATGCACAGTCTTGCACGCTGCTTACTAACGAAAAATGTCCTTTGATTTGTGCGACACCGCTGTTTTTGACTAGCCACCCACAACGCTCATGTACTGGTGTGCAAAAATAGTTTCAGCATCAAAACGTCTACATTATTGGAATTCCTCGCAACTTTTCGCAAATGCCCATTTGCTTACGAACACATACAAACATGCCTTTAAGGATACAAGTATTATGAAGTCTTGTTTGTATGTATATATATGTATGTGTGTGTGTGTGCTTGCAAGCGGCAATTTGCATGCATACTTTTCTTTTCGTGTGCTATTATGCTTTGCTAAGTTTATATGTATGTGTGTATGTATGTATGTATGCATGAGTGTGTGTGAGTATTCGCAAGAATTAAAAGGATATTAGCGTTGAACAATTGAACAATAGGCGTAACATTACAATTAGTGCAATTTCCATGTGATTTATTGGCGTTAAATATTTGTGCGACAAATAAAAGCACATAAATACACACATAAACCTCTGCATATATACACATATAATATACGCATTTCTTCAATTCCTCTCATCGGTGCGAGGCAAACAATTGTCGTGCATGCAGCATATTTATGCTTGTGCTTGTCTGCAAGGCGGGCGTTTACAACAAATATTTTACTCGCAGAAATGTATAAACCATAAATTTTGCATTGAGCCGAAATTGCTGGTTGGTGTGGTGGCAGTTTGCTGAATTCCTCTAGGTGCCATCGCATGCACATTTCATCACACACACACACACAAATCTACAGTGGCTTGTATTTATTGCAAGTGTGTGTCGGAGACAAGCGTACAAACAAAAGGACTAGCTTGTTGAAATGCAAGCATATTTTGTGGTAATTTATCGCTTCTACACTAACAACTATTCAATACAAATATCCGCACTTGTTGTCTATCTGTCTGTCGGTGGTCTTTGCAAATTATAAGCTTAGGTGTAATGTTATACGCTTTTGGCTAATAAGAAAATTTAAGTACACCACTCTTTGTGGTGTGTGAAAAATTTATTGCAGGTGCTAGTTTGTAAGGTGCTTATAGAGCAGGTGAAAATGGCTATCAAGACGGGATTTTCTAAGCCAATGAATGCAATTATTGTAAGTCCATATTTACTTTGTGAAGAGACTGACCTCTGTATAAAATTTTACAATAAACAAATAATAATAAAACAAGAAAAGACACAAATGCCTTCACAATTGCAAAAGATTCATTACAAGAACTTTGATTGGTCAATTTTTAATGGCAGCTTTATGCTGTGGTGGGTCGGTCTGAACAATTTCTTTCGAAATTACACCGTTACCTTGGACAATAACCCATTCCAAATTTCTTGAAGATATCTCGTCAAATGCAAAAGTTGTCCTTACAAGCACTTGACTTCGATCGTTCAGTTTGTATGGCAGCTATATGTTATAGTGATCCGATATCGGCCGTTCCAAAAAATTAGCAGCTTCTTGGTGAGAAAAAGACGGGTTCAAAGTTTCAGATCGATATCTGAAAAACTGAGGGACTAGTTCTCATATATACAGACAGATTAATAGATAAACGGACATGACTAAATCGACTCAGCTCGTCACGCTGATTGTCTCGTCTCTGACGTTTCCTGTTTGATGTTACAAACATCGTGGCAAACTTAATATATTCTGCTTAGGGTATAAATATATAATATACATAAATATGTATACACATGTGAATAAAATAAAAAATTAACAAAAAAAACATTTTATTTTGCAAAACTTCGTACGTTTCCAAACAATTCGTACGAAAATTCACATTCTGTAAATAGTGTGTTTCGCGCGCTACGCTAAACTTATGGTTAACATAATCGGCCTACTGTGCGTACTATTCGCAACACCATCACCCATCTTGAGATCCAGCATTTATTATTGGATAATCATCGACCGGATAGATCAAGTCTAGCCAGTGAAGGAAATATAGCGGCCGTAGCTGAGAGTGTACAAGAAGACCGCGGAGAGTCGTTTCGGAGCCGTTCGCAGCAACTCGGACTGACGTAATACAGCTTGTGCAAGAACTGAAGTCACTCGCTCTTCCCAAGCGACATCGCTTCCCTCTATGGGCTCTTGAAAAGCAACCTGAAGATATTCCAGAGATGCCATTCCATCCAGAAAAAACAACGGTTTGAGGCCTGAAATTGAAGCTCGTGATCTCGGCGACATTTGGTTTCAACAAGACAGCACCACTTCCCACACATCGCATCAATTAATGGATTTATTGAGAGAACACTTCGGTGAACAGATAATTGCACGTTTTGAGTTGGTCGATTGGCCATTAAGATCGTGTGATATCGCACCGTTAGAGTTTTTCCTGTGGGAATATGTAAAGAGTAAAGTCTATGAGGACAATCCTGTTTCGATTCAGGTCAACGTAACCGCGGCCAATACTAGAAAGAGATAAATGCCAAAGAATGTTCTTTCGAATGATAATAAACATTTCCTATTTAATTTAAATTTTCTGTGTTTTGTTTTTTAAAGTAGGGAACCTCGAAATGGTGCACCTTTTATAATCATCTAATAGTCGTTATTGATGGTTTAAACTTTTTAAATGGCTGATTTTAAATTATTGTAGTTCGCACAGCAACCACTTTAAATGGTTTTTCCAATGGTGGTCATCCCAAATTAGTTTGTGGATTTTTTCTATTTTTATCCGTAGTAACATCTTTTAATCGCCCACTGGGTTCTTCGTGTCCGTCTTCGATGCTTTTATGGCCTGCGTAGAATTTAGCTAATCAATAATCAAACATATTTTCCGCAAAACTTATCCAATTTGGTCAAACGTTGGTGAACTACTGTTAGAATTCGAGTTTTGGTTTGTCCTTCTCAAAAAGCAAACTTCAATTACAATGAGATCAATTCCTTCAGATTATCGTTATTTCTTTCAATCGAACTACTATAGCCTATAATTGTTTTCGAACATTTTCGGCTCAACAAATCGCAATTTAAAACACAAACTCATTTTTCAGTGAATGTAAAATTTCCATAAGGAAGTACTTAAAATCATGATTACAAAATTTCTAGAAGACAAGCTCTTTAATTATGCCATGGAAAAAAACTCTCTTTAAATAAATTTGTTTTCAAAGATTTCTACTTTATTAATATCTTATAAGAAACTTACAAAAGTCTTTGAAAACTAAGAACAACAATAACAATCTGCTAAGGGACTGTCCTGCTTTAATATCTATTAAGTTTATTTCAATTCTTTATATAGTATATTTTTACACAGATTTTCGAATCCTTTTCGTATAACATATTACAACTGTAATGGACTAGAGAAAAAATTTGTTTGGTCAACCAGACTTTTTTTTATCATTTTCACGCTTCCACAAGCAATTAGTTGCACGCAACCACAAACACACTTCAAAGTGGGGGGCGAAGCGTGGCTGTAAAAGTTAATTCAATGCGCCGCACTAAAGTGGACATTAAAAACAGAAGCCACAGACGATTGAACAGCTAAAGCAGCAAAATAAAAGCAACAAAAAACGGTATGGCATACCAGTATAACAATAACAACAGCATATATGGCCGGCAGCTTCGTTTGTTGCAGACAAATCAACCAAGAGCATAACGCCTGCCTTCTGACCTCTGACTGTAGCATGTAGAGAGGGTAGTTTCCTACACCCAGACAGCCAGGGCTCTGCGCACGCTGATATATGCAATGCCAACGATGTCGCGTGTGCTAACGACAGTTACAAGCAACTGTCTGGCAAGTAGCTGCTTGGTGTGGCAGGAGTATCGCGTACTAAAATGTGGTGTGCGGTATGTTGGACAAATGGCATGCCTGATGGTTGGCGTTACCTACGTGCACACAAATGTATGTATACATACATATATCTCTTTCGTTCAGTTCAATTGGCTTTTTAATGATGTTTAATGTTTGTGGCTTGCTAGTTGCTGACGATTTTTCTCCACACTTTTACTTCCTGCCTTTGGCTTTGGCTTTGTTTTTTGCGTATTGCTCTTGAGATTTGCGTGTACGAGTATTTGTGTGTGTGTCTGCGTTTTTGTTGTTCTTTACCAGCTGGTTTCCGCTTTTCAACGGAAGACAATAAAGCACTATCACCTTCCACGTTGTCATTGCTATCGTTGTTGTTGCTGTTGTTATGAGCGTACAAAATCATGCTGCTATCATGAGCCGCGTCGATGCTGATAGCTGCTGATGACAATGGACAATTTTGATGTGACATCGTTAATGTTGATGACAGTCTGAATTGTGCGTCAAAGATGACGAATGTTGCTGCCACAAGACCTTTACGCATATACAACTATTTGCTGGCGTTATTTATAACTACTAAATGCACGATGTTGCTGACGATGATCTATCTAATAATGTCTTATCAACTGGGTTTCCACTCAATAACACACAATTTGTTACAAGCTACCGGTTTCCAGGGTGAATTAGCAAAATTATCGCAAACGAGGTGTGGACTGCCTACATGCACACTCACCTACTCGCTTGGAGGGCATAACGGAAATGATGTTTAATGATTTGAGCATTATCATTCAGCACATTAAGAGCTGTAGGTCGTCCCTTTTCATGTTCAGTTGGCACTTTTTGTTCGAAAAAAGAAAGTTGGTGAGAAAAAATCTTTTTAAGTAGCTAAGAATTTTTGGCAGAATATAGTAATTTTTAACTGTTGTTAGTGTAAGCGCTAAAAGCTCACTTGCATTTGCGTGTGCAACATTTAGTTAATTAGGCGACATTTTGCCGCGAAAGACATTCATTTAGTCAACACACCCACAAGCCGGAGCTCCAGCTACATGCCTTTGGCAACAGGCCAACTGGGCGATGAAAAGTAAGTGTGGTAAACAAGTTCTTACATTTCTCGGTAAAATTATATAATATAAAAAAGGTGGCACTAAAGAAATGCTGCATTTAATATGGAAATAGTTAATCGCTTCGCACAAGTCTCCTTAAAGTTGCAATTGCAACTGCACTTAGTTAGATTAAGCTTGATTTATGCTGCCTGTATTACATTTATTGAATATTACTTTTGTTCGTTTTGGCTTAAGAAGTAGTTTGGAAAAACTTTCGTTGACATAATGTTAATCACTTATTTTTATTATTTTATGGCTGTGTTAATCTAAGTTATTGCATACTTTTTTGCGCTTAGAGTTGAATCACGCATATTTTAGGTAGTACTAGTTCGTGAGAAAAGGCCAATTTTTCTGATTTTTTTTATGATACAGTTTAGTTTTTTTTCAAGACCAATGGTAAATTATAGTGTGACATTTGAAGAATATTTTGTTAAATTTTCATGGAGAAATATTTAAAAAAACGGAAATGGCAGCAATTACTTAAGAGCATCTCGAAAAAGTTGAATTGCAGTGTCGCTCATAACTGGCTGCTGGATCATCTGAAACAGAAAAATCAAATCTTATATTGTTAGACAATCGGATTGTCTAAGTAAAACTGGGGGATTTAAGATATCCATTTTTTATTTTTTGTTAACACTTTGAAGGAAAAGACGCGATTTTTGCGAAAAATTAATTAATTTGGTATTGACTAATAGCGGCCAGCAGGATCCTGCAATTCAACAGAGCCGTAGAGAAAAAATCGTGGCTCGAGGTGGATATATGTAGGCCTCTTATCCATTATATTATATTGATATTCTATTTTTTTGGATGCTGATAATGATCGGGTAAAACATCCAAAAGAAATACTGGCGCAGATCTGAAATTTTTCTTTTTTAATTATTGTTGATCGCTGAGAAGTCTGCAGGAGCATAATTTTAAATTATATAATATCATTACATGCATTTAGGTTATGAATTTATAGTAATTTATAATGGCTAAAATTGTAGAGAATTGTTGGATAACAAAATGTGCAAACAATTTTTGCAGACAACTCCGTTCCGGAAGGAATTGTCGCCGATCTCCCTCCCTCTCTCCTTTCCCTGCATTAGAGTGCTGATAGTGACAGATAGGGGAGGGCACAATATACGTTCAGGTCGCAGTGCAAATCTCAAATTATTCTACATATTCACCACCAGGAGGTCTTCATTTTCCAAGGATATCTAAGAGACAGCTCATTGAATCAAGTTGTAGCTTAGTTAGTTTAGATTTAGATTGAGCTCACAACAAGTACCTTTGTTATTGTAACATTCTTTAAAAAGTTTTGGGCATACCGCACACATCGATTTTCGAATCCCATCCTGGTCAATTATTTTAATGAATATTACTAAGTTATAGTTTCTCTTCTGGGTTAAATACGGTTCCGTTTGAAAGGTCCGTTGAGTAGTTTCCATTATTTTATATATAACTTTTTTTTTAAAATAATATAAACTACGTAAAGTTTCTCTTAATTAATACCAAGCTCTCCCATTTTCATATCCTTATCGCAGTTATAAATTTATGTATAATATGCAGTGTATAAAAATATGTTTCCGCGCTGTGATCTGCTGCATTCATCAAGCTCATATGAAAAAAGCTCATATCTCCACTAAATGACTGCACATCAATGTTTATTTACATGACCGCTCATGGGTTTCCTGCGGGTACGCGCCACTATTTTTAGTTGCATTTAATCACAAATATACATATGCATATAATTGTATGGATATTTACACTTTAAGCAGTGGCGTGGTTGATAGTTAGAAAATAGCATCCTACGTTTGAATAAAAAGTTAAGCGAAAGCATGTAAAATATTATATAATAACCTGGGTACCAAGCCATATAGGAATAAAAGAAAAGGAATAGGCAAATAAGTTGGCTCGCTCGGGGGTAGCTAGAACACAACTTCCCTAAATTGGTCCCAAATCATTTAGCTCCTTCAAGAATCGTTTAAAGCAATGGACCCTAGAGGAACATCTCAGGTCTTGGAACACTAGCAATACAGAGCAAACCACAAAGTTACTTTGGCATAGTCCTGATGGTAGACAGACCAAAAATCTTCTACTTCTACGCTAAAGGGAACTTAGTAATATTGTAGGGGTCATCATTATGATGATGAGATGCTGGAACGTTATCTTTGTGAATGCCCAGTCTTCAGTCGGCTGAAACGGGATATCTTCCACGACTCAGAATGCTTCAATTTAAGAGGACTTGGGCAGCTGGGGTGGAAAAAAATCAGTATTTTACCAAATCAACTGATTAAAGCTTAATTTGTTTACCACCCAATTCATTTCGTAACCCTCTCCACTGTATACGCTTTATAAATTATGTGTCTAAATTTTCCCTCTACCTTTCAAATTCACATCGCCACTGTCCATACTTCGTGAACTTCGCTCCGCAGCAAACACTACAACAACTGAATAAACTCTAAATGTCCATATTCACACACATATATGCTTTACGATTTTGCACCATGTAGTTTTGAACACTTTGTTTCATGGTTTTGCATTTTTTAATTTGTTAGTTTTGATGCCACTTCTTTTTAGCAATCCTTTATATTGTTGTTGTTGGTTGCACATAGTTTGTATACAGTATGTGCAACGGCGCGTAAAGATATGTTGCGCGGATTACATGTGTAAATTAAAAGAGAAGCGATAGAAATAAAAGTTAGTGGCTTCCGCAAAGTTACCACAAAACACTTAACAAATAAATACTACCTGGTACCCAGTAGCGCCTAAATGTATGCAAGTGTGAAGCTAAGCTCACGCATTCAAATGCAGGTGTGGGAAATTAATATTTTTATTATGTCTAGAGCAATGTTTCTTGTTATGCTTTTAAAGGCGATTACACTTATGATGCCGATAAACTTTGAATATTAAAAATTTTAATAATTTCTCTTTGTAAAATGTTAAAAAAAAAATGTGAAACCATAAAAATAAGCTGAAATATACCTTTAGGATGCATAATAATTAAAGTGCCAAATATATGTTTATATAACGGCGCTGTTTACTATCAGTTAATCACTTTGTAGTATGCACAAAATATTTTCCCCCATCTCTTTTTTAACTTAAACCTTTGAACTACTTATTTACACATTTTTCCGCATAAATATCTTGACATTTTTATTGCCGTTTCCTTATATACATCAATAGCAGGTATTTGCAGTTTCCTAATACTCCTGACTCAAGTAGCTATTTTATTGCAAATTGAAAAAGTCAAGCGCTGTCACCGGCTTGCCATCACAGCCATCGACAACCCATTGGATGCAGCGTGAATGTTTTACATTTTCCCTTTATCTCTGACATTAACTTTGATGACGTCGGCGGTTCAGACTGGTGGTAAATATAAGCTCAAACTGTATGCAAAGTCGGCCGCGATTTACTTGTTGTTTTTCTGGTTTTGGCTCTGCTGAAATCACAAGAAATTGGAAAAATGTTTTTTGTTTTGTGCTCCTTGGAGTTCTTCGGAAATATGTTGCAGGTAGAAATGCGACTATTAGCTGTCACAACATTGCAAGGCATTTGCTTCCATGAATGCGAAAAGTTAAAGAAATACCTTCAATGAAGTTATTTTTACAGCCTGAATGGGGTATATTAAGTTTACCATGTATTTTGCAACACACCGAAGGAAATATCGGGTCACTATAGCATATAGCAAATTAAACTATCAAAATCATGTTTTTGTATGGAAAACTTTTGTATTTGACAATGAGCTGAGGTTGATAGACTTCGACGAGGCCCGAAATATGGTTGTCCGTAGTATCAGATTCCGTCACAAGAAAATCAATTAAGCTACTTGGCTGTCTCCGGATCGAAAATGGCGCTATCGATCATGTTAGACTTTAGATTAGATTAGAATATGAGGTTTGCACTGCGACCTAGGGTCTATTGTGTCCTCTCTTCCATCACATGCATTCCCAAAGTCCCAGCACCCTGAAAAACTCCAACAACTTGCTGGGTGCTATTGAGGCAATGTGATCCATGTTCACATAAATGGAACCGAGGGTCTTGAGCCTGCGTCTACAAATTGCGGTGTAATCTAAAATCAGGTGTTCTAGTGTTTCTGGTCCCATGTCGCAGAATCGGCAGTTGCCACAAAAAGCTATGCCCATGTTTGACAGGTGTTTCTTGAGCCTGCAGTGCCCAGTGTAGAGCGCGACAAGATTGGCGTTGGAGATTTATTACTGCACACTGAGTTCTTCAGTGCTCTGATCACGCTTGCGTGGGACGCATTATCAAAAGCACCTTCAATGTCTAGGAAAGCACATATCGCAACCTCATTGTTCTCCAGCGAGTTCTGGATCTCAGCCGTTAGTTGGTACAGAGCAGTTTTAGTAGACCTACCTGCTCTGAACGCGTGCTGATTTGCATGCAGAGGTGCGACTTTTAGTGCTTTCGATCTTATGTGGTTGTCTATAATCTTTTCCATACCTTTTAGCATGAAGGAGGTGAGACTAATAGGCCTGAAGGATTTGGCTAGTGAATAGTCCTTCCTTCCTACCTTAGGTATGAAGATTACCTTTGCTATTCTCTACGGTGATGGCATGTATGACAACGCAAGGCTATCTCTCATCAGCCCAACAAGGTACGGCAATAGAGCTTGCCCTCCTTGCTGCAGAAGTGCTGGGAAGATGCCGTCAGCCCTAGTGACTTATATTTCGAGAAGGAAGCCAGTGCCCACTTGATTGAGTCTGCATTGAATAAATTCTTTGCAGATGTCCAATCTGAGCGATCTGGCTTATGTGCGTCTACTGGTGAAATTTGGTCCTCCCGTATAGTCTCCGGGAAGTGCTCAAGCAAGAGTGCCATGGCCCTTTCATCTGCGTTGGTCGTATAGGTCCCATCAGATCTTTTTAAGGCTAATGCTGTGTCAGTCTTACCTCTGGCCAGAGCCTTGTGCAGTCTGGCTGCCTCTGGGGCTGAGGAGACATTTTCACAGAATTTCCTGATACTCCTGGTTTTTGCAGACCTAATTTCCTTATTGTAAGTTTTTAGGTGCTGCCTATATTCCTCCTTGTTGCCGGTTCTTTTGGCTTTGTTAAAAAGCCTGCGAACCGATTTTCTGAGCACCGAGAGTTTACTGGTCCACCAAGGACAGCCCTGTCTGGTTGTCTCCCCTGGAAAATAGGCCGCTGCAAGGACGAAGTCTGCACCTTCCTTGTCCTTCACCTGCACCGCGACCAGATCCTGCGTTAGGAACTCTGAAATACATAAGAAATTAATATCGTTCCTGACCACTACACAAGACCGAGGTCTCTCAGAGGAGAGATCCCAGATTACCTCGCTTGCTCTTGTATTGAGGCCCCTGACCTCCCCTCTAAAGACCTACGGCTCCTGGATTAATAGGATACCCAGGTTATCTGAAAGGAACCTACTCGCGATAACAGCCGAGGCTGCTGTCGCGTGGTGTAGGTTCAACTGGGCAACTTCTATATGGGCAATGGCGGTCACAGGACTGGTTCCACGAGGGCAGATCGTCGTCGTCGCTGTCCTCGTTATTCCCCTGCTGGTTCTGCGCCTTCAGCCCCTCTAGGAGCTCTGTGTGGAGGGTAGCTCCCCTTCACACTCCTTAGCACCTATGTTTAGTGCCCCTTCTGCTACAACTGTAGCACCTTGCACCACCGTAGCAGTAGCAACCTGCTCGAGTGTGCCGGTACCGGACTGAGTTGGCGTCTCATCCACCAGCATTGCTTCCTCCGCCGTTCCTTCCGCCGGTGTGGTTTTAGGCCTACAAGGCCTCATTACCCCACTGCTGAACCTAAAGTTCAGCCTAAACCCCTCCTTTCGGATGAAAGGTCTTAGACGTTAGATATATCGCCAGTTTTCTAGACATGTGAAGGTTCAGACGGCCAAATAACAACTCGTATTACTATCTCGTTACAACGAACAAAGAATATCTGTCAACAAAGTTTCAAGACCAAACTATACGCATTTAGGAACCAAGAAGGTAATCAGGGCACCAATGCTCAAAGCATACTAAGTTTATGGAGTGAAAACGACGATGATACGATGTGACGATGTACGAACAGCATAATTAGAGCAGCAAATCTTAATATACAAGGTATATATTAATAAAAAATGTACACTTGCTGGTTTATGCCACTGATATTGATATTATTGGCTTTAATATCCGTGCCGTTAGTTCTGTTTTCTCCAGATTAAACTAAACGAAGTGAATGGGTCTATCCTGTCATCAAATAAACAGTCATCACTGTTGACGGTCATAAAACTAAAGTTGTAGATAATTTGGTCTGTATAGGAACCAGCGGAAGCAACTCCAACAATATCAGCTTTGAAATTAAGCGCAGAATCACTTTTGTCAACAGGTGCTACTTTGTGCTGAGTACGCAATAGAAAAGTAAAGTCCTCTTTCTTGACGAACCAAAACAGATTTCTATAAATCGAGCATTATTCCCATTCTGGTGTGGACGACGTCTGTTTTTATTAAAAAATATATATTTTTGCAACCATGTGCTACTTTCATATGCACATTCATATCGCCGATTTACGGGCACATGCTTTCTTTCACTGTTGACTTGTGTAGATATGTCAGCCAAACCGAATATGAGCAATCATCGCAAGTGTTCACACTTCAAAGCATAGTTTGTTGAATACCACAGCTTGATGGCACTAACGACACAGTGAACATTCTACGACATCATTAATCTTGTTACAATGTAAAATTCATCAGCGAATGCTTTTGACAATGCAGCTTTTTTTGCGCCCATAACGGAGCTGAAACAATGGATGGATGGTGGAAGCTCAATGATGGACGAGCTTAAGTGAAAAACAAAAAGGCCTACAGAATGACGAAACAACAACAACGACGAGTATGTGAAGAGAAATACTAGTAAGAAAGAAAATGCGACAAAAAAAAATATATATATACATTAACATATACAAGCATGTGCGTGCAAAAAGCAAAACATGAACTGCGCAAAATCTGTCTGTATGTAGATGTGGATATGCATATGCGCATCTCCATATATGATCAATCGAGTGAAAACCACAGATGCCGGCCGCAAATCAATACGAAACCAATGCTCTCGAAAGATATCAAAGCATATGCATAGGCGCTTAAACATGGTTTTTGTTGCGCATGAGTATGTAAGCATACAAATTAGCTACTCAGCTATGCGATACTGCTAACAACACAACAACATTTGACTAAAATCACATATTACCTCATAAAGTCATAAGAGCTTCGTAACCATTAAGACCTGAGAATGCATGTAATACAGAAATAATGGTATGCCACAGGTAAGCTGCCATAAACGTTGATCATAATTGCAAAAAATTTGTTGAAAATATGCCTGTGGATTTCATTAACTTATATACTGTAGTCATCTAAGGTATATGTGTACATTTGTATATACCCGTATAAACTTACTCATTAAAGGGAAGTCTTCAAAAGCTTAACGACTATGCATGCATACATTTTACATTCATGCCTATATACGACATGCCGAAATATCTGTAGTTTATCCTTGTGGCACTGTCTTAGCTAAGTGTTTCAACTGCGTGACTACAACTCGCTGAGTTGACAGCAAATTTGACAAAGTTATTGACAGCTGTTTTGTTATACTATGTTGTTCGGTTATTTTTTTGTACCACTCGTTTTTGACTAATATTGATTTATGGCTAGTTCCAGACATGAACAAGTCTAATAAAAAGACCCTCTAAAATTTCAAGAAAATCGGTCAAGTAGAATCAAAGAAATCGTGGGTATCATTTTGAAAAAAAAAAAAACAGTTTCTATAAAAACGCGTTTAAAGTTTCAGTTACAGCCGAACCAGTTAAGATACCGGGTCAGCATAATACCTTCATCTCCGAAAATAATTCGTATTTGAAAAAATCCTCTTGTAGACATATTCTTGAATAGTGAAACTTTAAAAAAAAAAAATCTATTTCTATTTCTAGACTAGAATATCCCATTATGCAACTTGTGATATTAGATTTTTATATACATCTCATATATTTTTCTTAAATCTCGAACTTAAATTTCAAATTCTGTAATATTATATTAATGTAGTAAGAATTACGTCTAATCTCACTTTCTTAATATAAGAGCTTTAATATTAAAAATAGTGAAAATATATTTAAGGAATAATAATGCTGAAAAAAAGCTTCCATGAAGAATAGAGTACCAGAGTACCACAAGTAACTTAATATCTTAATATTTCATTTTGTTTATGCTTTTGTTTTTATATTCTTTACTATACCTTATTTATTACCCACTTCACAGCTCATTTTATTTATTCCGCCTTTTGCCTTTTTTCGCTAATAATACTCTTGACTCAGTTATCTGGCTCATCCAAAGTTAAGAGCCTATCGATATTGATACTACAATAATAAACTTCTTTCGTACATTGAAAGCAAAAAATAAAAATAATAATAATAATAACATGAAAGAGACAAATAAAATAAACCATAAAATTTAAATAAAGAACAAACGCACGAACAGTAGAACAATATAACAATACAAGTAATTCTATAAGGAATGCTGGCTTTGCTAATGGCGAATATCAAGTACACTTCAATGTCGTGAAGGAATAGAGCGAGGAAAAGAGAGAAAGACACAGAGAGTCATCATAACACTTTATTCTTTAGCCTGCATTTACTATGTATTAAATACAGCAATGTGACTTTTTGAAGCAGTCAGGAAAACAGCAATGCTTTCTAAGCGTATTACAAACAGGAAAAAGCTTCAATAAATAAAGCATCTGCCTAAATGATTACAATCGTATTAGGTCTATTGAAGTGTATGATATTAAAGAGAAGTGCAGAAGAAAATACAGACTTGAAAAAAAGTTAAATCAGATTCAGACTACTTTGCTTAACGTTTATTGATTGATACACATATTGTAATTATTTTATCCCTCTAATTTAATAAAACTATTTTAATATGTGGCCATCCAACTCCAATGAGCCATTCCTTATTATATCCTAAACACCCAGTACCCTTGTATAAAGTATATATATAAATGAACAGTTTTTGAAATATCGATCTGAAATTTTGCACACGTCCTTTTCAAACCAAGAAGTTGCTGATTTGTCAGAACCGCGGATATCAGACTACTATAGCATATAACCTTCTACATATATTTGACAATTTGGCATAGATTATTGTTCACGGCAACTATTTCCAAACATATTGTTCAGATCAAACCACTATAGCATATTGCAGTTATATATACTGTTATAATACCCTCTTATGCTATAAGAAGTGCCAATGTGAAGGGTATTATAGCTCCGGTATAGCCGAAGTTATGTGTTGTCTTGTTTTATACCTTGAAGTGGATATATTCAGTTTGCCACGATGTTTGTAACATCCAGAAGGAAACGTCGGAGACGCTATATAATATGAATATGTACATAAGTATAAGGAGTCTTCTTGTAAGGAGTCTTTTGTCTTTGTAAAGGGTATTATGGCTTCGGTGCAACCATAGTTAACGTTTTTTCTTGTTTTTATTTATTAATCCAATTTATGTTAAAAATATATTTTCTTAATTTTTAATTTAAGCTGTAAAATTAAAGAATAAAATTGACATACTTTATTATTAAATTAAAAAATAAATTTAATCCCAAAATTTTAATTAAAAATTGAAAATCCAATTCTTAACCCAAAATTTTTGAATCCTACAATTTACCACCCTGTTCGCAAGTATTAAATTGCTCATTTTAGTAAAATTAATTAATTCGAGATTAGAAATTCATTCCACTTCTATTTGTCATTGCGTACATAAACTATGTGTATATATACACATAAATATAAATATGCTTGTAGTATATGTTTCAGTGTGTATTAATTGAATTAAATTTTCCATAAACTGTTGTGTAAGTGCATTGCTGCTCTGGGAACAGGAAGTGTATTAGTCAAATTTTACTTATACATACCTAGGAACATCTCCATATATAAGCATGTATGTGTGTTAACACGTTGCATCGCTTTAGTTCCTCATGTACTGATGCTCTTTCGGTTGCGTTGACAAATTCACGCCTGTCTGCCTTGGACTTGTGAGCCACATATATGTATATGCTACAAGCAGCTAAGAGGTCATAAACATGCATATCGCACATACATGAACACACATATACATACCTACAAATATACCGTGTACAAATTTGCGAAATGCAAGCATATAAACGCAAACAAGCTAATAAGTGGCTACACATGTGCGTTGAATCATACTCCAAGGACATAAACAGCAACCTCAGAACATCCATTGAGATAAACATGCACTTGCCACAAACACCACCATATATAATATAATATATATATATATATATATATATGTATGTGTAAGAATGATACTATTTAGTACAGCATATGCTATATACAATACCATAGTAGGTGGCAAAATTTTTCATTAGCATTAGGCTATTACCACTTCTGTACACATATTTAGTCGTAATGCGCTCAAAGCTTATAAATGACAGCTGAAAGAAAAGAGAAAACAAAAAATAGTTAAGGTGAAGCTTAAATAAGTTTCATGGAGACAAACTATGTGTACCAAATATCTAATGGCATGCGTACAAACAAGTGGAGAAACCTTTAAGAGTATAAATGCTCTGTCAATTGCATTTTATATGAGTATATTAAGGGCATTAAAAACCCCGTCTTAAATATTAAGTTCCCTCACAATTGACTGAGTGTTCTACTTGATTTGGATCGTCTGTGTCTTCAAGCAGACTGCTGCTGAACTGCTTGTGACATCTGCCTTTTGCTGTTCTTTATTTATTACTCCCACTTTTATTATCCTTTTCACTGCCTTTTTTTCTTTTATACGCGCTGCATTGTTATTTGCCACATTTTGTGGCGCATCTTTTGTAGTTATTAACCCTTAACCGCAAGCAACATTTATTACCACACGACATACTTCACCCCCCATACCTGTCACATATCGGTTATATAGCTAGGGCTAGCCTTTTCTTGATTGCCGAAAATTTGTTGCAAAAACACACACATTGTTAACGGCAAACTATTTAAGGGAAGTCAGTTTAGTGCGCGTGCAACAAAAGTGTGGCATTGACAAAAGAATTTATTTCTATTCACACTTTTATAGCTTAGCCCATATCCCTTGTAGTGTTGTTGTTGTTGCTCATAACTACTGATGCGGTAATTGTGTGTGATCTTTTAATTTGTGCTCATCGCACCATTGAATTCAGTGTCAGCCGGGGAAAGTGATGCCTTTGTGCACTTTTGGTTGTTGAAAGCTGTTGGGTGATGTCTTTTGATTTCGTCTTTTAGTTTCGGTGTGTGATTGGTTATATTTCGTGGATTATGGCAATTTATTCTAATATTGTTAAATTCCAATGATCTCTTTATCCATATACTTATAGATGAGCCCAAGATTTTGACAGCCACCCAGTTGGTGAACTTTTCGTCGAAATTTATTTCAGCTCGTTTGAAATCTGGTTACTTCGAAACTAGGCATGTGGAAGCTTCGTGAGAGTAACAGCAGCTTTGCTAGAGAGAACTGTTTAGTTATACAAGTTATGACTGATTCGCAGTTTCTCGGCTTGTCAAATGAAAAAGTTTTCCTACAAGAGCTTGAATTTCATTGGACAGTTTGTATGGCAGCTATAAGTTTGAGTGGTCCGATCTGAATAATTTGTACAGAAATAATGGCGCTTTCTTTGAACAATAATTTTCATGGCAAATTTTGTGAAGATAATTTGATAAATTAAAGAGTTTTCGATACAAGAATTTGAATTTAATCGGACAGCTTGTATGACAGCTACATGTTTTAGTCATTCGATCTAAACAATTTGTTCGCAGATTATAGTTTTACTTTGGCCAATAATCCATGGCAAATTTCGTAAAGATATCTTGTCAAATAAAAAAGTTTTCTAGACAAGAATTTGGTTTTCACCAATCAGTTTGTATGGCATCCGATATTGATAAATAAGCAGCTACTTGGTGAGAAAAAGACACTTGCAAAATTTCAAAACGATATCTCAAAAAGCGAGAGACTACTAGTTCGAGTATATACTGACCTACAGACGGCAAGGACAGGCACGACAGTTCGTCGGTAGAATCAAAAAATAAATTATTAAAGCGCAAAAACCCAAATAAGAATTAAGAGTTTTACATAATTTAATACAACAACAACGACAACTACTGCCTAAGTAAGAGAACTCACTCCAACTACTCTTGAATTCCACTTTCACTCCGCATCTAATGATCTTTAAAAAACAGGAAAACAATATTTCCATCAAACTCAAATCACGCATTCGTAACTGCCTAACGCAGTGACTTGATTAAAATGGCAACAAATTTGCGCCGAAAATGAAATTACAAAAAAAAAAAAAAAACAGAAGAAATTATCGACACTAAAGCTGCCAGCCAACTCATTAAGAGCAAATGAGTATTGAGCGAGTAAGCCACTGCAACCGCTGCTTAACGAACGAAACTGCATACATAAGTTAGTCGGTATTTATGCGCAAATGTAAGTATATGGACGTGTGAAAACATGTTGTTTATTTGCCACACTTGCAACATATGAGAGAACGGGCATAAAGTATGAGTGGGCGGCAGGCTAACTTCTACAATGGCATGTGTATGCATTAAGTTGGTCGGTTGGATGGTGTTGCTGTTGTTTAATGAAAATTACACGCTAACGGGCTAACGAGTGAGGTGCTGCGGGGCTTAAAGCGGGTAACTGTACTTTTCGACGTACCAACTCGAACTTCGCTTGATCCCGAACCGACTGGTGTTAAGAATTTTGGTGGTAATGAGTTGGTGGAGGTGATATGAAGTTGGAATGTGTGTGCGTGTGCTGTCCCGTTGAGTGAGTTAAAATGTGTTAAACCGTTGCAATTTATTTGCGCCACTGTATTTAAGTGTGATATGTTTATATGAGCACACATATGCGAGTATATTTGAGTTCTACGACTAGCGGAAAAAATTATGTGCTCGAATATTTTACAGTGTCAGCGCGGCAATTTTTTATTGCAAGTACATAAATATGTGTGTGTGTGCGCCGGTGGGTATTTTAAGTGTACAAATCGCTGTCGCCTCACAATTGTCAGCAAACCACGCTGACATCGAACGCCGTCACCCTCTTATCTATTAAATTTAAATGATTGCGTAATCTGCACCATTGCTCTAGACTCACATACCTATGTTGTAAGGTTAAGTCCTGTTATTGTTTTTAATTTCAACTCGCATTAAACTCACATAAAATTAAATGAAATTACTTGGCGCAAAAATTCTCAAACATTTCATTTGTACTTACGAAACTTGCTTTAATTTTTTATCTTCACAAAAATGAATACAAGATTTGAAGATGCTTGTGTTTTGAAATTAGAAAAATGCTTTCTGCTATGTGCGCAGCTGTGTCTGAAAACTAATTTACAATAGATACAGTCAAGTAGAACTTATTGACGGTAATATAAAAGTTTTATATTTTATTTTCAACAAGTTTACATAATTTGTTTTCATTTGCTGTAATAGAATAGGAATTAAGTTCTTGTATTTTAAAATTACATTAAACTTTCGACAAAACAGATAAAGAGGGCTAATATCGGTTACTCTATACATTTTTGGTATCACATGACACATGCCCAATCTTTCAAGCAGAATATAACTCACGCAATGTTTTGAGATATTTATTGTCGCGGTCTGCGTATGCGAGATTGTAGACTTTTGTCAAGTTATCCTCTGTGGAAGCCATTTTCGCGGCACCTGTGCGTGGCTCAACAAAACCGCAGTGCGCCAATTTTTTGGCATAGCTTTTTTTTCCAAAAAACCGATAATCCGCAAACATGCTTACTTGAACACGCTGTCAAAACTTAATGAATTCTCTTTAGATAGTGGCGCCTTTGTGTGGTAAGTCTAAGCGTTTATCGGACCGTCCCTAATAACGGATGCGTTTTTTTAGACATGTGGTTTTCAGTGAAGCAATGCCGTTTTCGGAGTTGGTCTTTTTAATAGCTGTTACTTGATTTACACTCAGTTTGATTTGCCATTTAATAAACAGACTTACTCCGAAACAACGTATGTAAATCGTGCAAAGTCACGTCGTTCAGTGCACACCGTAAAAGCAATTGCTGCTGTTGAGCAGAGTATCGAAGAAGACTCAAATGAGTCCGTCCGCCATAGCGCGCAACAATTGTAGCTATGCCCATACTGGAGGATTTTGCGGAAGGCTCTTGGTTTGCGGGCTTACAAAATCCAACTCGTTCAAGAATTGAAGCCAAACGACCATCAAGCGCATAGCGCGTTCGGTGAATGCATTCAAAACGAGATGGCCACCGATCGCGATTTTCACAAGAACATTTTGTTCAGCGATGAAGCTCAATTTTGGTTGAATGGGCACGTTAATAAACAAAATTGTCGCATTTGGAGTGTTGATAATACACGACGCCGTTACATCCTCAAAAAGTCACTGTATGGTGTGCTCTATGGGCAGAGGAAATCATTGGTCCATATTTCTTCCAAAATGAAGCCGGTCATAATGTTACAGTCAATGGGAAATCAATTTACTGAACGAAACTTTTAGTGAGCGCATTATCTCGCGTCGTGGGTCTGTGGTGGGGTCTCTAAGATCGTGCGATTTAATACTGCGGGACTATTTTTTTTGTAGGGCTATGTGTAGTCGCTTGTCTACGCGGATAAGCCCGAAACATTCTGCGCGTTGTTGTTGACTTATGGGGTTATATACAGTTAGAAGGCCGAAAAAAGTGAATTTTTCAGAAGTTTTTCTGAGAAAACGTTTAAATTCGTTGATCCAAAAATTTATACACAGGTTACGGTATCTTTTAAATATATTTCAACACTTAGTACTAGTAAAAACATTTTTTTGGAAAAGAACTACAGCTGATCTTCGAGAGCTCCTCTTAAAAATTACGTTTTGCGGTGATTACTATATCTCTGAACTTGATCATCTAAAATTATAAAACCAAACAGATATCGTTAAAGTAATGTTAAATATAGTAATTAATCGAAGGAATAAGCCAATTAAATTTTTTGAAAAAAGGGCGGTTTCTCAAAAAAAAAAGATTTTTCACCGAAATTTCGGTTAATTAATTTATAAAAACAAAAACATTTATCGAAAAGTAAAAATCTTCGATTAATTACTAAAAAATATATTTAAGAAGCACGTCTAAAAATTTGCGACTAATCGGTTTAGCCGTTTTCGAATAATTTTGGTCACCGACTTTGAAAACACCGTTCTGAGAAAAACGCGGTTAAAGTTTGGAATGCACTTTACATGGAATAAAAAACGCCTTTTCAAATTTGCGCGTAACTTCGAAAGTATCCACCGGAACGATATGAAAATTTCGAAGACCCGAATTTACACATTTTTGCACAAGTTTTAGTTCGCTTCCGTAATTTGCACGTAATTTCTGAAAAGTTTTATTCTGTTAACTTCATTGAAGTTTAATTTGTTTACTGTTAAATTTTTTATATGAGAAATAGGCGTGGTTGTCAT